TGCAAATATTGAATTTATTTTTTTCCAGTTTTTTTTAAAGAGGATTCCAGGACTGGTTTTCTTTGGTGTGTTTTCTAAGAATTCTTCTTAAAGGATACAGACTGAGGAGTTTTTCATACATGATGTCTTAGCCCCCTGAAAGTGAAAGAAATTGACCCAAATTCGAAACTGTTTCCTCCTTTCTCCATTACAGGAACTCTACCATCCCCCCCCCATCTCCAGTTAAATGTTTTCAAAGGGGGTGCTTGTCCAAAAGTGCAAAATAAATAAATGGCTATCTTGGTTGAGTAGAAACACAACCAAGACAGCCATTTATTATTTTGTACTTTATTCATGATTTAAATGTGGTTTATGGAACTAGCCAGATTTTCTGTCCTTGAATGACAATGAACTATAAATTACCCATATGGCCTACTTTCACAGAGCACCCTGAGTTAGAAGTGAGTGACTGATTCCTTGTGTTGGGCAAACCCACTTAGGTATTGACAAAATCAGCTGCTTTCTGTGTCATGGGTTAGAATAAAGTTGCAATGGTGAAACTCATCTTTTGGATATAGCACCTCTATAGACTTCAGTACTCCTTGCCAATGGATATGGTAGCAGGGTCTGCCAGGGGTTATAATCCAGCAACACCTGTGAGCACAGTATGTTCCTGTACATGATGAAATGTTACATGTATATTTTTTTCCTTGTTAACTTCATAATTCCTCTGGTGCTGCATAAAAGGGATCTCACAATCTGATAAACCCAGAAAAAATCTTCCTTCCTTCAGGTTTTAGACATCATTTTTTGGCTTGCTTGATTGCAGAAGAGATAGAACATCTAGAACAGTAGTTCTCAAGCTTTTTATACGGCACCCCGGTCATAAGCAGGCAGCGCGCATGCGTGGCACCGCCCCCTGCGCGCCCCCCTGCGCAGCGTGCATGCACGGTGCCACCCCCTGCATGGCACGTATGCGCAGCGGCGCCCCATGCACCACCTCCTGCGCGGCACACATGCGCGGCGGCGCGCATGCGCTGGCTGACAAAAAATGGCGGATCACGTTGTTTGGCGACCCCCCGTGAAATGGTCGTTTGACCCCAAATGGGGTTGCGACCCACAGGTTGAGAACCGCTGATCTAGAAAATAACTTGGAGATAGAACACTGGCAAAACAAACAGCCTGATTTGCTAGAGCAGATCCAGCAACAAGAGGAGCAGAATAAATCTTTAAAAGAGAAGCAAGAACAGCAGAAATAAAGTTATAAAGACTTGGAGACTGAGCTGGAAACCAAAAATGAGTTGATAAGGTAATGTGTAAGGGTGTTAGGCAACTATAGATTTCTTTTCTAAGGTTATAGGCTGTTTTCTGACGTAAATATGAAGTTGAATTCCATATATGATGCACTATACAATACTTATTGTGTTTTTATTAATTATGGTTAATTGATTAGTTCCTGAGCAAATCGGGGCTAATGTTACTTCCCTACCAGCCCAATTCAAAAATAACCTTTAATCTTTATTGTCATTTATTGTCATTTTTTACTGTGGGCACAACACATATCAAAAATGAAATTTAGAAGATGGATGTTGGAATAAAGAAAAGGAAATGATGAACTTTTGTAGTAGTTTTTTGAGATAGAAGATGTTTTAAAGGAAAAGTGAATGTTTTGTATTTAGTATGTTTTAAAGGAACAGTGAATGATTTGTGTAGTATGTAGATGTAAAGTAAAAGAATAATAGAAGGTGTTGATTTAGTGGAAAAGTTTAAATATTTGGGAGTATATATATTATAAATTCTTAATGTAAAGTGAAAAATAATTATGAGATATTATGGGTAAATGTGTAAAAGAATTCAAAATTTTAATGATCTCTGTTGATGAGAATTTTAGAAGATGAATGGTTTGCTGAAACTTTTTAAGTAGGAGGGTATTGATAGACTTTCTTAGGGGTAAAAAGCAAAGAGCCAATTTTATCGAACGTAAGTTTGTTGGTTAGGTTATAGTGGAGGGAAAATTTTGTGTTTATTATGGACGAATGGTTGTTTAAAAGAAATATACACCTCAGCGAGGTGAAGATGGATAAATTATATGTAGAGTAAATATGGGTTATGATATGGGTTTAAAATGCATTATGCAGATTATGAATTATTTATAGTTTTTAATTTGGAAATGCTTATATTGTTAATTTTTTTCCTTTTTTGTATTTGAGTTAAAGTATATTATCGATTTTATTATTTGTATAGTTGGATAAGTTTATTTAGAATTTGTTTATTTGTAACCCTGTAACCAGCTCTGGGAAGTGAGGGGGGGAGGGAGGGAGGGGGTTATTTTAGGGGGGGGATATTGTTTAAAACTTGTATAAAACTTTTCAATAAAAAATGAAATTTAGTTACCCGCTCTCAAAGTGAACACATACATGACACACACCTAAACATACTATATACAACATATATATAGACCTACACCCCTACATATAGACATGAATATTAAATACTGTCCATCTTGAATATATAAAAGAGGTAGTCTTTGACTTATGACTACGATTGAGCCCAAAATTTATGTTGCTGTGAGAAATTTGTTAAGTGTGTTTTGCCCCATTTTATGACTTTTCTTGCCACATTTGTAAGCGAATCACTGCAGTTGTTTAGTAACATGGTTAAATGAATCTGGCTTTTGCATTGACTGTCAGGTCACAAAAGATGATCACATCTTTTGGGACACTGCAAATGTCATAAATATGAACCAATTGTCAAGCATCCAAATGTAAACCACATGACCATGGGGATGCGGTAACGGTCATAAGTGTGAAAAATGGTGATAAATCACTTTTTTCAGTGATGTTGTAACTTTGGTCACTAAATGAACTGTTGTAAGTCAAGAACTACCTGTAATACCCTTGGATCATCTCTGAACTTCAAAGGAGGCTACTAAGCAAAGGGAACCATGTTTGTTCTCTTTCAGCTCCTTAAAAAGAAAAGTAAAAATAACCAAACTGAACAAATTCTTTTTTTTTTTAGCCACTTTCAAACAATCTGAAAGTGGCAGGAGATAGACTATTAATATGAAGGGAAACTCCATCTTAAATGATCTACCTTTGGAATTCAACTGTAGACTTTATTTTGCAGTATTGTAGTAAAAAATATATTCACCAAATATAGACGCATTAAATTTTGAGTGACAAGGATTTACGGATTCCTCAGCCTCCCTTTTCCGTGTCCATTGCTAATGGCCATTTCACTAAATTCAGCAGCTTTCTTTAATCTGGCAGCTGTGCTGTGCCGTTATTCCCACTGGTCTTGCTGCAGGTGTTATAAGATTTGTAGTTTTATATCCCTGAAGGGCACCTGCTTGAGGAAGGTTAATTTATTCTGAGCACCTTATTCCCAAAGGCTTATATTGCACAATGAGTTAGGGAAGTGAGATAATCCTTATTTAAAAACTTAAAATCTAAAAGGCATAATACAAAAAAAAAAAAAGGATGGGAGAAAAGAAGGAACAAGAAAGCTTGAGTACCTAACTTAAGCTAAACAATTTTGTACTTTAATGATCTATTTGGTACCATTTATGGAGAAAAGATACATAACAAGGAAAGAAAGAAAGCTTGGCATGAAAATCCTTAGACTTGCCTTAAGTAATTCATTGAAATCCATGTCCAAATCAAGAAGTAGCATCAGCGTCAAGACTTCACCTTTCAATTTTAAATTAAATGTTTTCTGATGTTTGCCTGTTGTATTCGATTAGGTTTTATTATACTGGATGTCTGGTCAATCTCCTTAATAAAGCTGTAGTATGATTTGGGGGTACTTTCCTTCCATTTTAAAGCAGAAACATAAAAGCAATCATGTATCCCAAGAGTCCCATCGTAGCCTTTAAAACAAAGCTAAGTTCTCCATTTCAAACCTTGACCCCATCCATACAAGATGGCACGGCACCAACCTGTACAGCAAGTTTTGTGTGGTGATTAAGGTGCTGGCCTAGAAACCAGGAGATGGTGAGCTTTAGGAGTGAGAGCCGGCTACGTGACTTTTAGCCAGTTACTGTCTCAGCCCAAACCACCTCACAGGATTGTTGTGGGGAAAATAAGAGTAGGAAGGAGTATTATGTATGTTTGCCATCTTAAGTTGCTTATACAGTAATAAAGCCAGGATAAAAATCCAATATATAAATAAATCATGAACACCCCCCCTTCCCCTGAAGGCACTATAAAAGAGGTGTCCCACCATAGGACAAAACACTATTATTGCATTGCAACATATCTTTCTGAAAACACAAGCAATCTGGTTGAGAAATATAACACACATTATTGGGGACTTTCATATTTTTTTCTTTTATCGTCACACACAATTGCCTGTAGATTACACACTCTTTGTTCTTTATTTCCCATAGTGCAATTGCAGGAAAAAGACAAGCTGAATGAAGAAAGGGCAGTTGTTTTTCACAGCACATTAGAATTGAGTTTATAATGTGATGTGTTATTTGAAGCATCCCATCACCATTTTATAAAGTTTTAAAGCGTTGTATTTTGTATTTTGATTTTATTTGTGACATTTGTAGCTAAATGTTAGAAAAAATATTCTAAATCAATCAGTATTCATGGCTACATTTTGGGAGAGGTAGGGTGGGGGTGGGTATTTGCCAAAAAGGGTTGCAGAGGCTTTAGTGAGTAACAAACATGCTAACTGTTCATAATTTTACAGCCAGAGTGTTGTCTGTGCTATCAACACAGAGAGAAATCTACCAGAAAGAGGTAATTTTCTAATATCTGAAAAAGTTCTCTGCATTTTAAGAGCTCCAATTTCTCCACTCAACAATAATACCAGCTACATAGCTTCATGTCTTCCCTCCCATAAAAATCAGGTTTGCAAATATCTAAATGTAGCAGAATTACAACCTTAAGTAGACCCAGTCATCCCAAGTAAGGTCAGAGAAGCTAGGAAAGACCATAATTTTTTCACCACCAGCCCAAGAGTCTGAAGATGGGACTCAAGAGTAAGAATAAATAAATCACCAAATCAAGAGATTTGTTTTTAAAAAAACCACCATGATTTTTATTCATTGGTCAAATTTCCTCCATGTGTGAATGTGACATGGAGATGTGGATGGTACCGCATGGAGAAGCTGGGGTCAGGAATAGGACCAAATGACAAGAAAGCAACCCTTCCCTTTCTAACAATTCTTCCCTCGCTTGCTTACTCATCATCCCGACTACAGTACTAGATCAGACCTGCAAACCCACACTGTACCACTAGATGGCAGGAACAAGCTATAGAACGCTTCACTTGGCCACCCTCTAGTGGTCAGCAGTAATATTATATCCTAATTCTAGGAGTCCGATTCATTAGAATGGATGGAATCCATTACAGTGGCCCCACTCCAAGAAAAGGCTAGTTTCCCACAAGGTGGGGGGGGACCCTCTTTGGACTACGCCACTTCACTTTGTGGCTAATGGCATTCACAGCACAGCAAGAGGCTCAGATAGCAAAGCAGCAGCAGCAGCAGTAGCAACAGCAATGGAGAGTTATATTATGCCCAGTAGCGAGGAAGCATCTTGGTGATTTGTTTTCCCAGAGAGCAGCAGCAGGCAGCATTATTGCATTTTAAGAGGACCCTGTGTAAGAGGGGGGGGGAATTATAAGAACCAGCCCCCAGTAGAGTCGGGAGTCAGCTGACACTGACTGGCAGATGGGCTGCATCACACCCCGTGGCCTGTTCTGTGTCCTAACCCCACCCGGGTGGCCTGCTCCCATCATGCAATGGAAGCGCAAGAGCTATCTGGTTATAAAAGTGCCCCTCCCTCCTTGAGGTTAGACAGGAGAGCCCCTCCCCCACCCAGGCAGTCAGTGCCAAGGTCTCTGGAGAAAGGTCCCGGGCGCAGTTCATTGCCGGCCACTCGGGAGCAGGACATCTTCAGGACGGTGCCTACACGCTGCCAGCTGGAGCTGGGGAAGAGAAAGAGGGGGAGGGAGAAAGTGAGGAATATGAGTAAATACAGGTAGTCCTGGACTTAACAACGATTTGTTTACTGACCGTTCAAAGTTACGACAACACTGAAAAAAAGTGACTGATAGCCAGTCCTCAGACTTGAAACGGTTGCAGCATCCCCATGGTCATGAAGATCAGAATCTGGTTCCTAGCATTTGGCATGACTTACTTAACAACCTCCCTGCTTAACCACATAAATTCTAGGCCTAATTATGGTTCTATGTTGAGGACTACCTGTATGTGAAAACCTGGGGAGGAACTCCCCCAAAATAGAAAACTTCAGAGAAAGTGGGGGAGGGAATGAAGTTCAGAAGAATAAAACTTGGCTAAAAGTCAACTGAAAAAAAGCCATGGGAAAAAGGGATTTTTTAAATTCTCCCAATCAGGTTCCTTTTTCTTTTAATTATTTTTATTCATCGCTGCCCATCTCATGCATGTAATTTTAATTACTGAATTTATGTAGCTGCCCATTTTATGCGTATTATTTAGACTTGCGATACATGGTAACAATTCTGTCCCCCCCCCGTTCTTTTCTGTACCTTATCCCATCCCATCTTTCCTGCTCCCCAAAGCATCTTTTAAGCAGGAACAAAGATGTCCTGCCATTCAGGAGCCTTTCAAAACAACTCTCCCCAAGGACTTTGCAGCTCCTCAAGGAACAGTGCAGTCCGTTGCCACGGCACCACCATAGAGTCTTCAGCTCTCCTGGCAACGTCAAGAAGCTCCATGGTAACCCCAGGTGGATGGGAGGTGACTTCAGGTGTGAGAGCTCCAGGCAGTGGCTGACTTTCTTTACAAGAAGCAAGTTTAGTGAAGGATAAACAGATAACCTTACATTAACATGAATGCCCAACCTAGTCTCTGCAGAATAGAAAGGCCGATTAAGATAAGAACCCTGGGTTACTTTAAAGCAGAAATTATTAAGGAAAGAGTGAATTATTGTTGTATGTTCTCCATTTTGGGGGAACTCAGCTCTTGGAACAGAGCAACTACCAGAAATATTTCCTTTTTTTAAAAAAAAGGGATGTCATATAATTGTGCTAGTACAGTCAGACATCCCAATGTTCACCTTGGTTTCATCACGCGAAAACATGGAAACTGTAAGGACCCACCCCACTTTGCATCTTAAGAAGACAGAACTCTTGGAATAGTTCTTCCAAAAGGAATCCTTTATTAAGAGAAAATGGTTGCAGGCATGCTAGACAGGACTTGGGGTCCAAGCTCTCCCATTCAAGGTTTTAAGGGGTTCCCCAGTAGTCCCACCCAATCAACCCCCCTTCCCAGTGATAGTTTCAAGTATCACAATTCCACCCCGTTTCTTCTTTCTTCCGTCTGGATGGAGACTTCAGATAACTACATGAAAGGCAAATACTCTTCTTTGTTAATGCTAATGTTCTCTGGTGTTAACGCTTTGAGGTTACAATAGGTTACAATAAACACACATTCAGCATTCAGCTCTTTGAAGTCTACTGAAGGAAGTGAGGGCCATAAAGCCCTTTTGTTCTCCCCCTTCTCTCCCTCTTATGGCAGAATCCAAAGAAGGCAGAATTGGGAGTTTCTATATTTGATAATTAAAGATGAAATATGATTGGATTCTGACATCCGGCCCCTCTTAAAAATAAGAGAGATCCACCTGAAAGAAAACACAAGTATAAAATTTAGTCAGGCTTGTTAGGATACTCTGTGTGAAACTTCTTCAATAGCTTCGGGGCTCTGACATGACGTTTATGGACCCACTCATTTTGTGAGGGAGGGAGGTGTTTCCAGGCAACTAGGTACTGAGTTGCTCCATGATATCTCCTAGAGTCAAGGACTTCCTTTATTTCGAAGTGTTGTTCACCCTCCACCATGATTGGAGGTGGTGGGGGGGGGGATTTTTGGCCGTAGAGGTGACTGATGCTCTCTTTTCAGCAAGCTGCAATGAAAAATTGGGTGTATTTGCCTGAGATTTTTGGGTAATTCTAATTCTACTGTTACTGGATTTATGATTCTTTTAATTGGAAAAGGTCCTATGTATTTTGGTCCAAGTTTTTTACAGGGCTGTAGGGACTTTAGGTATTTTGTAGATAAGTACACCATTTCTCCTATAATGAATGGTGTAGGCTCAACCCTTTTTTTATCGGCTTGTGTTTTGTAAGCCTGCCTAGCTTCATCTAGTGCTTTTCTGACTATTGGCCAGGTGTTTTGTAATTTTTCCATCCATTCTTTCAGCGAGGGGATCGTTGGTTCGTTTGGGGTTAATTCTGGCATGGGGTTGAAACTTTGACCGGTGGCTATTTGAAAAGGAGTGTAACCTGTGCTGGAGTGGACTGCATTATTGTAGGCAACTTCTGCAAAAGGGAGTAAGTCCGCCCACTCGGTCTGCTGGAAACTAAGAAAACATCTTAAATATTGCTTAAGTACTGAGTTCATTTTTTCAGCCCCCCCATTTCCTTGAGGGTGGTGGCTAGATGTCAGTCCCTGAGTGGTTCCTAAGAGGGATAAAAATTCCTTCCAAAATGCAGACGTAAATTGCACCCCCCTGTCAGAGATGATGCGTTGGGGTGCCCCATGCAATCTGTAAATGTGTTGGATGAAAAGTTTTGCTAAGGCTTTTGCAGTGGGAATCTTTTGGCAAGGGATAAAGTGCACCTGTTTGGAAAACAAGTCCGTGACCGTCCAGACCACAGTATTCCCATTGCTTTCTGGCAATTCCACTATAAAATCCATGGCTATTTCTCTCCAGGGGGCTGAGGGACTTGCCACTGTTTGCAATAGTCCTGGCACTTTCCCTTGCAACCTCTTTGCCGTGGCACATTTTGGACAACTGGCTATATAACTTTCAATGTCCTTTTTCATGGATGGCCACCAAAATTGCCGTTTAATTAAATGTAAAGTTTTTACAAATCCAAAATGCCCTGATGATTTTGTGTCATGGCAAAGGTGCATGAAAGTTACTCTTTGAGTTGTTGGTATATATAACTTTTCCCCTATCCAAGGCAACCCGTCTCTCATTGTGCACACATTTTTATTTTTCTGGAACCAATCATCTGTTTCCAAACTTTTTCTGAATTCAATTCCAGTTTGGCTGTCCAGTTGTGGTTTTAATTTGGCTTGGGTTCTTGTGGTTACTGGTGCTGCCAGTTGTGACTCTGCCATTATTGGTCTAGAGTCTGTGGTTCGTGCGCTGTTATATTGGGGCATGCGAGATAGTGCATCTGCCAGGAAGTTCTTTCTTCCTGGTAAATGTTTGAGCTTAAATTGGAATTGGTGAAAATGCTGGGACCAGCGGGCTTGTTTGGGATTGAGTTTCCTGGAAGTTTTCAGGGCTTCCAAAATTTTTGTGATCAGTCCACACCTGGAAGGGGATTTTGTTGCCTTCCAGGAACTGTCGCCATGTGAGTAATGCCCAACGTATCCCATAAGCCTCCTTCTCCCATACGGGCCAGCGCTGTTCTGTTTCCGTGAGTTTCTTGGATGTATATGCACAGGGTTGCAATACTGCATCATCATTTTCTTGTAATAGCACAGCCCCCACTGCCACATCACTTGCATCTGCCTGTATTATGAAGGGCTTGTCCATGTCTGGGTGCCTTAGTACTGGTTCGGCAGAAAAAAGTCTCTTTAGTCTCTCAAACGCTGCTTGGCACTCCATTGTCCATGTTAGTGGCTGGCTAGGTTTTACTGAGGATGTTCCCTTCGTTTTTAGTAAGTTGGTGAGGGGCAAGGCTATCTGTGCAAATGAGGGGATGAATTGGCGGTAAAAATTTGCAAAGCCCAGGAAACTTTGTAGTTGCTTTCTTGTGCGGGGTGGTGCCCATTCTAATACTGCTCTGACCTTCTCTGGGTCCATTTCAATGCCCTGTGGGGATATGCGATAGCCTAGGTAGTCTATCCTTTCCTGGTGGAATTCGCATTTTGAGAGTTTGGCATATAGGTGAGCGGCTCGCAGCTTCTTTAAAACCGCTCTGACAAGTTTGACGTGTTCTTCTTTTGTTTCGGTAAAAGATAAGAATGTCGTCCAAGTAAACAAGGACCCCCTTAAACAGGTGCTCCCTTAGAACGTCATTGATTAATTGCATAAAGACTGCAGGGCCCCCTTGTAATCCAAATGGCAAGACTTTGAATTGATAGCACCCCATGGGGCAGTTAAATGCAGTCTTCCATTCGTCCCCTTCCTTGATTCTCACGCGATAGTAAGCTTCCCTTAAGTCTAGTTTAGAAAAAATTTCCCTTTCGATAGGTGTGACAGCATGTCTTTCATGAGGGGCAGCGGGTATAGGTTGCTTTCACTGATTGTGTTCAGGGCCCTATAATCCACGCATAAACGTAAAGAGCCATCCTTCTTCTCTCTAAAAAGGACCGGGGCAGCCACTTTAGGCTTAGCTGGTTCAATGAAACCTCTCTCCAGGTTTTTTTTTATAAATCTTTCCATTTCCTCCTTCTCCTTTGGGCTCATGGAGTATAATCTGGGTTCGGGAGTTTTGCCCCAGGCTTGAATTCAATGGTACAGTCTGTGGGTCGGTGGGGGGGAAGCTCATTCGCCCTCTCCTCACTGAAGACTTCAGCAAGGTCCCTATATTCCTCTGGTATTTCTGTTAATCTTTTTTCCTCTCCTATGGATGCTTTTTCTATTCTTGATTCTGGTAGCCTCCCTTGGGGTTTTAAGTCCATAGGGTCCCCCTTCGGGAATTTGATTTCTGTCGTCCTCCAATTTACCCAGGGGTTCCATTTTTTCAACCATTCCATCCCTAGAATCATTGGGCATTCCATACCTGGGGTCACCACAAACGTTAAGTCCTCTTCATGGTTGCCCAGGGAGAGGTGTATTGGCAGAGTGGCTAGGGTAGCTGGCACCCCCCCTGCTATGGATCCATCTAGCTGGCCAAATGAGATTGGTTGTTCCAGTCTCCTGGATGGGATGCCCAGATTCCCCACTAGTGTTGGGCTAATGAGGCAGCGGGTGCAGCCAGAGTCTATTAAGGCTTTCACCTTCACAGCTTCGGGCATGGGGGGGATTAATATAGTCACTGTTTTGAAGATGGGTGTGATGCGTCCACTTACCAGGGGTTCGCCTTCCGAGCTGTCATCTGAGGCATCCACCGTCCCTGTGGTGTAGGCTGGAGTTCTTTCCCCTTGGTGAGCAGAGGTGGGGTTTTCTGCAATTTCCATCATTTTCATGGCTGTTTCTTTTGGCTTAGCTGAATACCCTCTGGGTTTGTTGATTGGGGATCTGTCTGGGTTGTGCTGGGGGGCCTTTGAGCGGCATTCTACAGCTCGATGCCCTTCTCTTCCGCACTTGAAACACCCCATCTGCTTCTTGGCTGTATCCGATGATTTCACCGGTTGGTGTGTCAGCTCAGGCGGGGGGCGGCTCCATTGTTTTCCTCGGCGATGCCTCTTCAATATGTCGATCTCTGCTTCCTCTGCCAAGACGTACCATTCCTCAAGTCGATGTGGGTCTCCTCGGGGCAGGCAAGCATCATATAGATCATAGTTTAGTCCGTCTTTGAAACGGCCAAGGAGGATGTCTTCTGGCCAATTCAGTTTGCTGGCAATGGCTCGGAATTCTTGTGTATACTCAGCCACTGGGCGTTTGCCCTGCCTCATCGTTGTTATTCTTTCACGGGCTTTGCGATCAGCCAGGGGGTCTTCAAATCGTCTTCTCAAAGAGGACATGAAACGGTTGAAGTTACTGAGTTCTGGGGCATTGGAGTCATGCAGGTTCACCACCCAATCTGCAGCTGGTCCATCCAGGGCAGATTGCACGATCCGGATGCGGGCTTTGTCGCTGGGGATGTCCTGCCCATATTCCTCCATGTAGCTGAGGACTTGGGTTAGGAAAAACCCCAAGCGTGTTGGCTCCCCTTTGAATTTCACCTCCAACGGTGGACGTCTTGGAATGGATCGGTGCCTCCATTGTGGGTGGTAGTGTCTTCCGTCCAGATTTCCATCTTGGGTCCGGTAGGGGGTGGGAGCTCCTGGATCAGTAAATGTCCCTGGGGTTGCAGGTTCCACGTCCCCCTCGGTGTCTCTCCCTTTGTGGCTCCAGGAACTGGGGCGGGCGTAGGGCTCAGGAATCTCCTCTCCTAGGGAGCTGAGAGTTCTCTTCATCAGGTCAATAGCTCTCTCTAGGATCCAGTCTGAGTACGGCATACAGCTTCCTCCCTCTTCACTTGCGTGCAGGGATTTCTCCATCTCCTGCTTCCATTCTGGTTGCTTGGTCCCCCGTCTCAGGGTCACTTTTCTTGATTCCTTTCCCCACTCGCTTTTCTTTCCAACGCCCATCGACCAGCGAGGCTTGTGGTCCTGTGTCTCCACCACTTCTTCTTCTGAGAAATCTGGCCTCTCGGATCCCAACATCTGGCAAGGTTCCAACTGGGTCAGCGGCTCTCTTTCCAGGGAGTTTTCTCCCTCTCTTGCTTCGTTGTCTGACATGGTAAATTTTTGCAAAATCCCCCGGCAAGGGTCTACCTTCCAGGTGGATTAATTTTGCAAGTCCTGTCTAATGTAAGGACCCACCCCACTTTGCATCTTAAGAAGACAGAACTCTTGGAATAGTTCTTCCAAAAGGAATCCTTTATTAAGAGAAAATGGTTGCAGGCATGCTAGACAGGACTTGGGGTCCAAGCTCTCCCATTCAAGGTTTTAAGGGGTTCCCCAGTAGTCCCACCCAATCAACCCCCCTTCCCAGTGATAGTTTCAAGTATCACAATTCCACCCCGTTTCTTCTTTCTTCCGTCTGGATGGAGACTTCAGATAACTACATGAAAGGCAAATACTCTTCTTTGTTAATGCTAATGTTCTCTGGTGTTAACGCTTTGAGGTTACAATAGGTTACAATAAACACACATTCAGCATTCAGCTCTTTGAAGTCTACTGAAGGAAGTGAGGGCCATAAAGCCCTTTTGTTCTCCCCCTTCTCTCCCTCTTATGGCAGAATCCAAAGAAGGCAGAATTGGGAGTTTCTATATTTGATAATTAAAGATGAAATATGATTGGATTCTGACAGAAACCTTTCCCAGTAACTGCTTAATATTGCCAGTGCCCTACAGGCAGTCTTTGACTTACAACCAATCATTTAGCAACCGTTCAAAGTTACAACAGCATTGAAAAAGTGACTTACAACCGGTCCTCGCATTTACAACCATGGCAGCATTTGGGCATTTGCATAAGCCAGCACGTATTTAAATGGTTTTTGGCTTCTTGGGTTACACGATTGCCATTTGCAAGTTTCCAACTGTTAGTACAGGCCATCCTCGACTTACGACCACAACTGAGCCCAAAATAGCCGTTGCTAAGTGAGACATTTGCTAAGTGAGTTTTGCTCCATTTTACAACCTTCCTTGCCACAATTGTTAAATTAGTAACACAATTGTTCAATGAATCTGGCTTCCCCATTGACTTTGCTTCTTGTAAAGTTGCAAAAGGTGATCACGTGACAACAGTCATAAATATGAGTCAGTTGCCAAGCATCTGAATTTTGATCACATCACGGGGGGGGGGGGGCTGTAATGGTTGTAAGTGTGAAAAATGGTATAAGTCAGTTTTTTGAGTGATGTAACTTTGAACGGTCACTAAATGGACTGTTGTAAGTTGAGGACCACTTTTAATCAATTTACTGCTTTTGTTTTGTTGCCATTTAAATTCAGAATTTTTTCCCCATTCCTCATCATAGTCCTTGTTTCACCATGTTTTGTCCACTTTGTATCTAAAACCCTTTGTTACTTTATTTTACTCTTGTTCTGTTCCATTGTATTTATTCTGTGTTGCATTGTTACAACCTATGTTTGCAACAATAAAACATTTACTTATTAGTGTAATGTTCACTTAACACATTTAATTAGATTATAGCTTTACCATTTCTATATGATGCTAAAGTGGTATGTTGTGTAAATACTTCCCCTGTGGTTAGTTCTGCATTAATTCAAAATCCAGGCTAAACATGCAGTGTTAACACAACCCCACCTAAAATTACGCAAAAGTTATGCAAGCATGCCAGTGAAGGCCCCCTTTGCCTGGGCCTTCCTCTCCTTCAGTCTTGTGACACTTACTGGGACTTTTGCCTGTCGCCATGGGATCTGACAGTCTGCAGAAGAGAAGAAACACAAAGAGTGGAATTAGGGCAAAGCAGGGGTGTCAAACTGCCGGCCTGTGGGCCGGTTGCATCATACGGAGGCCCCGCCCACACAGCTCCAGCAATGGTTTGACACCCGTGGGCCAAAGGAACAATATTTCAGGGGTAACAGAACAGGAGGGAGGGAGGGAGGGAGGGAGGGAGGAAGGAAGGAAGGAAGGAAGGAAGGAAGGAAGGAAGGAAGGAAGGAAGGAAAGAAAGAAAGAAAGAAAGAAAGAAAGAAAGAAAGAAAGAAAGAAAGAAAGAAAGAAAGAAAGAAAGAGAAAAAAATACCTACCCAGGGTCTGATTTTTTGCATCTAATTTTTTTACCTGCAAGAGAGAAAGGGGTAGCGTGAGAGGAAGAAAAGAAAGCTCAGGTAAGGGAGGAAGAGAGGAGCACTGTAAGACTTAAAATGCAAAAAAAAAAGCAAGCAAAAAGATTTGTTTTTTCCATTTACATTCTTTTAATAAGAAACACAAAAGAAAGGGACTCTACGCTGCACTGGGCAAAAATTGTGTATACCAGTAATAAGTCTGCAAATGGTACTTATGGACACATCTATGCATACATATACAAAGTAGGATCTTTTTCCAAGGAATCCAGGAGTTAGGAATATGAGAAGAATTCAGGGTGGGATTTCTAGGGGCCAATCAAAGTTAGATCCAAGCATGCATAAAAGATGCAGGCATCTAGAAGAGGTGACTCACTCAGTGCTATCAAGATTCCCAGCACAAACATGATGGAGGCCAGGATCATCCCCACCAAGCGCAACGTATCATAGTCTGTAGGGGAAATACGGAGGTTCAAAAGTCAGACATTCATGACCATTCCAGCACATTCATATCAGGAACACCCTAGATTGCCCACCCATCTCCTCAAGCCATGCCACACTTCTTCATTCCTGGAAGGAAGAAACGCCAAACTTCATTCCACCCAGGTAGACCAATATCTGCAACCTTTCAATTAACACCACTCACCATAACTGAAGGGGTCGACAGGTTGGCTGGTCTCTGGGAAGCAAAGAGAGCAGAGAGTCAAAATACAGGGATTCAATATTTTTGTTGAATATTGAGTGGGTGGAGTCATTCCTTACACTTTACTACAAACTTTGGTTTAAACACCATTCTTCTCTGTTCATTCACCCACTTTGCATGGACAGTGCATTACCATAGGTTAGTAGCTAGGTGGCATTGGAGTCCATCATATCTAGTTGGATTCATTAGTTTCTCATACCTTTTCAATTTTCTTGATTCACAGAAGTAAACAAAGCACATAATCCAAACCTTTCAACAGATCCAAATCACAGCTCTGCCCTTATAGAAATACTATTGAACATTTAACCTCATTCATCATTCAAGTCAACCATCTATCAGCAATGCTCCATTACCCTCTTGACTGAACAATCTGGCCAATCTCTACACAAAAAGAATGAGCAAACAATATGACAGGCCCAAAGCAGCCATTTCCCAAAATTAGTGAGTGCATTAGTCTTAGATATTCTCATAAGATGGGTGGCCATTCGATAAAGAAATAAATAAATTTCTAAAAATGATACATAAAACAAAGCAACAGAATTCTTTTAGCACTTCTCTCATGCACCTTAAGACAGTTCCACTCGATGAAAAGAAGCTAAACGAGATTTCATGGCTGAGCCTCTGAGCTGGGTCCACAGTATTGTTGAATTTCGGAAACTCATGGGCTAAATAAACTTCTGACTGTGATTGTCAAAAACCAACAACAGTTTTCTCATCACACTGAAGTGGGAACATAAAAAGGCCAAATTGTAAGTCCTAAAATAGTTTTAACCTCATATGTGTGTGATGTGTGTGTCACTGTGTATGAGTTGGGCAGCTAATATAATTTTGTTCAGTCAATCAATCTAGGGTTTGCGCTCTGCAGTTCTCCATTCCCCCAGAATATTAAGGCTATTCAATGAACAAGTTCTTATAACAATTTTGACTTATTTACTGAATTAGCTCCTCTGCTAGATTCATGCTGTTCATTGAATTAGAAGCTAATTAAGAGCACTGGGCTAGTGCTGTAAAATCTTCTCAAGGTTAACATTAATCAAGATTTGCAAGCCGTGCAAATCAATCCTAGGTTTTCAACCGACCTGTTAAAGCCCAAATATGTTTGCTATCCATCAAAATATGAACTACTGTACAATTTTTAAAAAACTAAGTTATTTTATTTCACTAGGGGAGATTGACACAATGCATTAAACCAATGTTTCTCAGTCTTGGCTGCTTGAAGATGAATAGACTTCAACTTCCAGAATTTCCCACCAAGCCATGCTTGCTGGAGAATTCTGGGAGTTGAAGTCGACACATCTTCAAGTGGCCAAGGCTGAGAAATACTGCACTAAACCCTAAGCTTACATTAACAAACCGCAGTATTGCTGTTCTCTTTGTATTTCAATAGCTGTTGTCACATCCATATAAGGATGCAGTCAGTATCTAGCCAAAAGGTACATGACTATTTTAAAGATCCAAAGGTAGCTAATGTAGCTATCTACACTACTTTTGGCTAGATATTGGCAATGCTTTCTTGCTTGGATATGACAACACACAAGGAGAGCAATAATATAATGGCTTCATTTGCCTAATAGATTTAACTTTTGTGTATGTGTGCCTGCTGGTGAGTCTTGTCTACTGGTGACTGCCCAGACAAGTCCCAGCAGTTTTCTTGACAAGATTTCAGAGTGGTCTGCTATTGCCTCCTTCCTAGGGTTAAGAGAGAGTAACTGGCCCAAGGTTACCCAGCTAGCTTCATGCTTAATGCAGGATTAGGACTCACAGGTTCCTGGTTTCTAGTATGATGCCTTAACCATAACATCAAACTGGCTCACAATAGTTTTTAAAACATCCGTGGTGGCACAGTGGTTAGAATGCAGTCTTGCAGGCTAACTCTGTCCACAGCCTGGAGTTTGATCCTGACAAGTTCACTCAAGGTTGACTCAGCCTTCCATCCTTCCGATGTCGGTAAAATGAGGATCCAGATTGTTGAGAGGCAATATGATGACTCTGTAAACCACTTAGAGAGGGCTATGAAGCACTGTGAAGCAATATATAAGTTTAAGTGCTATTGCTATTTAACTAATTAATTAGTCAGTTAAAAATCTAGTGGCTGCCAGTAAGCTTAGATAGTTTTCATCTTGTTGAAGGTTTTTTGTTCCCTAATGTGGTCTTAAAAAGTCATTTCTAAGTGACTTGCTGGATGAGGCCAGCTAATAAAATCCGCTTTGGGAAATCTGCAATGAAGTTAGAAATAGTTGGCCAATAACCTACAAAAATGGGACTTTTGAGAAAATGTTGCAGAGCAGAATATTTCTGCTTAACTCTAGACATTCCACTTCGGTCACCTTTACACTTGAGAACATAATTAATTGGTAGGTCTATGAGCTTTGACAGAAGAAGTATTTGACTTGACTTAAAACCATTCATTTAGTGACATTTCCAGCTTGAGAAGAACCAAATCCTGAATAAATAAAACTTCCAGTGCCCAAACAAAACAATGTTGGCACCTCTGGGAAAAGGGCACTCTCTAGGTGGGGTGCCAATGCTAAGAAGACTTTTTTGTTTCTAATATTTTATCATTTTATGCTGCCTCTTTTTCATACTAAGAAAGAAAAGAGGTAATAGTTTGGCCATATGACACCCCTTAATGGTATTGGTCATCTTTCAGCCTCTCCTGTCTAAATGTAGAACCAGCCAGGAGCATCTGGGGTGGGGTGGGGGAGAGTCTAGATAGCAGCCATGATGATGTGATACCATTCACACAGGATACTTAACCTGCAATGAATTAAACTGGGTTGCTCTAAGCCAGTGACGGCAAACTTTTTAGAGACCAAGTGCCCAAACTGCAACCCCAAACCCACTTATGCATTGTCAGGTGCCGGGTGGGTGTGGCCCATTGGCTGGCTGCGGCTGCGGTGGTAATGGCAGACTGGGTGAGACTAAAAAGTTCAATCAATCAATTCCAACTTTGCGAGATCTTTTTTTCCCCTGCAAAAAGTTGAAATTGACTGATTGATTGAACCTTTTTTTTTTTTTTTGCACACGGCAGTGGAGGCCTAAAGCAAAAAGGTTTTATAAAACCCAGCTGAAGGCCTAGGACTGGGGCGATGGCGCGCGTGCCCACAGAAAGGGCTCTGAATGCCGCCTCTGGCACCCGTGCCATAGGTTCGCCACCACTGCTCTAAGCAACCAGAGAAAAGGACAGATAATAGAGAGGTTCTGATATAGTGTTGAAGCAGAAGGAAGAGGTAACAAAAAAACATTGCTGTACAAGATCCAAATATTGACATGAGAGAAAAGGAAAGGAGGAGACTAGGCGTCTTGCACAGTAGAACATGCCCAGGAATATTTATTGAACTTGTTTGCCTGGAATCTGTGCCCAGAAGCAGCAATGGAAAGAAAACAAAAACTGAGGTGTGTGTGTGTGTGTGTGTGTGTGTGTGTGTGTGTGTGACAAAATGCTCATTGCAACTTCATGTGTGTAACATTGCAAACTCAACAGTGCTGAGCATGTATCATGATATCATAACACCCCTTTCAGTTTTTTGACGTGATCATAGCTAGCTGCAGATTACTGTATCTTCTCTTAAGCCATAGTCTGCATAAATCACAGGCGACTGAATGACCTACAATGAGCTGGATTCTCATTGCATTGACTGGGTTCAGATAACCTGCTTAACCCTAAATCCACGTTAACGAGCAACAACTGAGTATTATAACATGTTATATTCTAAATAAAGAAATTTATTATTTATTAGGAAAATTTATGCATGGAGAATCTCTCCTAATTTAACACAGCAATCTTGTGAGCACACTGAGTTGGAAGCAAATGAGTGGCTCAAAATAATTCAGAGAGTCCAATCCAATATCTATCTATCTATCTATCTATCTATCTATCTATCTATCTATCTATCTATCTCTATATACCTATCTCTATCCCTCCATCCCTTCGTCCCTCCATCTGTCCATCCATCATCTATCTATCTATCTATCTATCTATCTATCTATCTATCTATCTATCTATCTATCTATCTATCTATCTATCTATCTCTATCCCTCCATCCCTTCGTCCCTCCGTCTGTCCATCTATCATCTATCTATCTATCTATCTATCTAAAATAAAATGAACACCAAGGTACTAATTAAAACTATAAAAGTTTAATTTAAAAACGCCAAGCTTTCGCCGTCACCTGCCGGCATCATCAGGGCTGGGCCGCCAGGGTGTGAGAGAGTCATTTTATAGGCAAGCCGGAGTCTGTACCCGGCTCCTTGATCTCGTCATCGGGCCCAATTGGTTAAATTGTGCTCCGGTGGTTCGTTTCTTCCTGTCCTTCCTAGCTACGTGTGTATCTTCATCTACCTTCTTTTCTTTGGCTTCTGGGGCAGGTGGCATAAACTCCTTGTCTTTCCGACTGTCTCTATCCCTCAATCCATTCTCCCTTTCGGGTTCGAGTGGTAATTTGCATTTGTCCTTTTCTTTTCCCAAATCACGCTTTACCCAGTCACTTTCTCTATGAGTATCTTTCTTTTCGTCCTTAACGCCCCTCCCTCGTGCCCAACTGTCATCAAGATAGTCATACGCAGTGTTCCAAATCGGTTGGGGTGGCTCAATAGGTTGTTTTTCTATGGGGGTGATCTCATAGTTATAATTATCTTTGACTACTTTTTAGCGTTATTATCTATCTATCTATCTATCTATCTATCTATCTACCCTTCATCATTTGAGCCATTGCTGTATCTCAAAATACAAAAATCTCCTTTTGGTGCCCTTTTCACCCAAATCAGCCTCCCACAATCTTTACGTAACGCACTTCAAAGCAACCAAGCTGAGGAAGGGAAACCAGAGAATCCTATAAATATTTCTAATCTAAAAGTCATCTTCTGACCTCTATATCTGTTGGGGGATATAACCATAGTGACTTGCACCTTCACCATGCAATTAACCTATTTTTGAATTAACTCATTTTCTGAGATTGCACCCTAAAGTGAATCCT